AGCTAAAAAAGCAAACCAATTTCAGGAAAGTGTTTATCACTAATCTCTCATCAGAATAGTACATTGGAACTAGGATCTGTTGCTTTCTGCCTTCACCCAATCCCAGAGCCAATCCCAGAGACGACGATGGGCGGCATTGACTTTGGTACGCAGCTAGGGTCATCGAGTTCATCCCGCCTTTTTGAAAGGAATTTCCAAGATTATTTCACTTCTTGTTTGGGCTAACGGATGCTTTCATCTCGAAGGCCGACCGCACCGAGAAATCCATGGGATTCAGGTCAGGGCTCCAGAGTGGTCACTGATCGAAAGTTGTGAGGTCAGGAAACCCCTTTTACAAAATTTCTTGACAATTTCTGATCTGCGACTAGGAGCTTCATCTTCACAATATGTCCGGTTTGATCCGCCGAAGTGCCTTATTTCGCATAACGGAATCGAGCAGGCCCCCAAATCGACTTTGACTCCTTTATTTGCAAAATAATCGGTTTTGACTCGGCAGTGATGCTCGCATAGTCAGAAAGTCAGCGAACCTTGCACTGCATCATCTCCATTTCTTCCAATTAAATACGAGTCTTGTTACCCTGCTCATTGAGCACCTTTTTCACCATAAATATCTTTTCGTCGGTGAACGGGAGTTCAGAACGACAATTTTCAGGATGCGGCGGGGCAGCTTTGGTGAGCCAACCTTTCTCTTCTCTTTAGCCTGCTCAATGGGGAAATCAGTTTCTGATCGTATAAAGGCCTTGATGTGCAGATGACACTTCACGATTTCGCGCAAAAAACTTCATGAGATATCCACTCATTCAGCCAGTTTGAGCTCAGAATGAACTTCGCTGCTATGCGGACCTTTGCCCTGCTTCCTTAACGCAACGATTGATTCATGGGGTAGCGACGCTTACATTGCTTCCAAAATCTACCAAAAGTTTAATATCATTAGAAAGGTAATAGTGTAATCTACCTTGTAAAATGGAAGAAGGCGAACGATTGTCACAAACGCACAAAAAGCGTCAGCGTGCGCTGTAATCATAATTTTGGCCCACCCTGTACACATGGTCTGTGAACTAAACAATGAAATTTCATAACATTATTAGGACAGTTATGGTTATTTTACCTAATCTGTTAAAAACATTTTCAAAAAAATTTTTAGAGGGCAATTTGTGTGGAGGGCTGCTGGTTAGGTATGCCCATGAATAAAAGTATTATAAAATAACATCCAAGGCACGTGGGAGTCAATGAAAAAGGACTCGACATAATTGTGGTTCAATGGTTCGGTTTTGAGTTCATTTGATTGCTTAATTTATGGCTTACAAGCATCTTAGGGCTTCAGAGAACTAGTATTTCCATCAACTGAAATCTAAATGTTCAAATGTGTTGTTCCGTCATACAGAGCCCACAGACTCTCAGCATGGTATGTCTCTCCCGCCAACGGCCAATTCCCCCAAATGTGCACTGCAGTGCCCGACATACATGAAGTTCAAAATTAAGAAGGTTCTGGAAAAACGTGGTGGAAGATGATTACACATGTTCACAAGCAGATTAAAACAGAGGAAGTGTAGTGTGAACCCTCTGAAAAAAAAAGTCAAGACAGCTGTGTGTGTCAAACAATTGTAACTTGTGGCCTTTCAGTTATCCTTCCATTCAACCTTCATCGAAGGTTTTTCGAGAGCGCGGCACTATCTATGTGGGAGATTTTTTTGAATACTCCAAAGTTGTAGCATGATAATTTTTTTCGGCCATAAAGTGGAATCATAGGTTCTCAAACTCAACAGCTATGCTACTCCTGTTCAGTAGACCGAACTGTCTTCGAGAACGATGTCGTAGTGAATTTGTGCTCAAAGGCGAAAATAGTAGAGTAATTAATAGTAATTAAAATTATAATCAAAGGGTCTCCAACTTCTCTCTTGTTTTAACTTCGGCATTGTTGTTTACGTTGTAAAAATCCTTCTGCCATTCGAGGTTTTTAGGTGGAACACTTTATTAACTTAACTACCTAATGTTTCGACGTAATCGTCGTCTTCAGAGGCCTTGTCGCCACAGGCGACTGTCAGTAGCGAAGGTTAATAAATTGTTTCACCCAAAAACCTCGAACAGTAGAAGATTTTAAGAAAGTAAGGAAAGGAGTAAAGGCGAAAATTTGAGAACCAAGAGCTCAATTTCCAAGCAATAAAGCCGTGAAATTCTTTGTCCCATTCGGCAACTCTTCTGTGTATATATAAACGATGACTGGTGCTCAACCTACAATTGCTTTCTTCGATCGCCCATTTTGTCGTCAACAGTTTTCCTAGCCTGCGCTCTTTTCGTTGGTTAGTCTCGGATTTTTGATGTCCCCCTCTACTTCGATTGGGCGAATCCTTCTCCCCAGCAGTCTATGACTAAATCCATATTAGACGCACAAGCCATTCATCCTCAGTACCTATACTCATTAGAAATTTCTTCAAGCTTCTCTACATATTCTTGATCCTGTTCAAGCATGAAATGAGCTCGTTGTTGAGGGAATCTCAATGATTTGTCATCTCTAAGGTTGAAGTAATGTTTGTTTTTACAACAGGTTGGTTTTGATGATGCATCAAGTCTCTCCAATCGATATAAGTATTTTATCACGCTTTCCCCTCTTTTATTGCTTTGAGGCTTTTTGAGGGTCATGAAGTGAATCTTATCTGTTAAGGTTCAATGCTAGTCCGATCCTTCGCCGTGACTGTTTTTCTATTCGTCGCTCTCATCGTGCACGTCATTTCCTATAAAGAAATATCTGGTGAGTTCATGTGCAAGAAGGAAAGATTCACAAGTTCCAAGTGTCCAATGTAACTTCAGTTCTTTTCAGATAACTCCACTGATGCGAAACCGTACAGTTTTCTGCCTAACGATTATGGCAGCTCTCTGTGGCTGGCGCTTGGCGCTCTCGTCTTGGCCGCTGTTGACACCGTCATAGTTGGGTTTACAGTGGGCCGTACCGTCTGATGTCCTTAACAATTTTGGAACGATGCTAGGCAACAAGAGGATATAACAATAAGGAACTCTTCGCTATATGATCGTTTACCGATTATCGACTGAGATTTCGATATTTCCACCTAGCCTTACGGCTTCATAGCCCACTTAAGCCTTCTTCTCTTTTTGCTTCATTTTTACTTATATCGTACTGTGTATTCTGCTGACGTTTTTCTCGTAATGAATATCCGAATTTCTATTCGAAATTTCTCTAGCGGTACGGTTCTTAATCGTATCACAATTGTCTGGCGTCTTGTTTCTTCATAAATTCTGCTAATCCATAATGAGAGTGGATACTGTGCAATAACCAAACTAATTATTCGAAAATCACGAAGAAAAAACGCAAATTCGCGTCTTTTTAGTCTCTTCTATATAATTGTGTTAGTTTTCACTTTTCCCTTACAACTTTACTCAGTACTGTAGGCGAGTACTGTAGAAGTGTACTTCTATGGTAAACTCAGTGAAATAGTGGTCACTGATAAAATGTAAAAAGGGTAGGTCATGGATGAATTGTCAATAGTTGATGTTCCCTACACCGTGGTTGGATCACCACACCCACGTTGGAATAGTGTTTTGTTCTGCTCGTGATCATTCTATGAACATCGATTAACTCCAGCAAGGAACGATGGGAACGAGAAAACGTCTCATGATAGCGGGTAACAACGGTAATGATTGTTAACAGTGGACAACAATGATGCCATTGACAGGTCGACCGCATTGCCCGACAGTTGTGGTCATGCCCATTTCCCCATTCTCTTCCTGGCCGCCACTACGCCCACTACCGACGGCTTCAGAACCGAACCACTGACAAGTCCTACCTAATCGCTGAAAATGCCATTTTGCTGCCCTAGTTTCACAGTAAGTAATTTTTAAATAGCATTTATTATATTTCATGATGAAATTTTTCGAATCATCCAGAATTTGTCACTTCACCTCATATTGAGGTCATAGAATGCCTTGATCTAGCTATACTTTGTTTTCATTGACTTCAATCGTTGTAAATTTGAGCGTTTCGTACACATTTGCGACCAGAAGATGAGACAGGTTGAAAATAGGAACTTAAAGGCACCGTTCACGATAATTTTGGGTAATCCAGATTATGCTGAAAAATGGAAGACAAGATCGAAACTAGCGCGACTGAGGTGAAGTAACTGCGTGCATCGGTGTTACCAAAGTAAAAAAAAAGGCTTTGAAAAAACGTTAAAAAGGGGGCTGGACGAGAATGAGAAAAGAAAAATGAAGAAGGTGGGGGCGCCCGGACGAGCTAAACAGTGCGTTTCACCGCGCACGTGTGGGTCCTGGTGCGAATAACAGACAATGGTAAGCCAAAATCCATTCACTCATAAGCATAAATAAACAAAAAAACCCCTAGTAACAGCAAAAGTAGCTCACCTTTTTCAGCCTCTAGGAGTAGGAAATTAAATAAGGGATCGCGGCAGCAAAAAGAAAAACAGAGGAAAAAAGAATGGGAGAAAAACATCGCCTCATCACTCGGCGATTAGCTGATTGTGCGTGGGTCCTAGAACGAATAATAGCAATCTGTATTGTCTCGACACTCGTCTAACGTGACACCGATCGAGGGGCGGGAACGCGAACTACGGCAACAAAGGGGCTGCCACTATGCCCTGGACGTCGAGATTGGGGGAGTGAGAGGGTCCCTTCTACAACCCATGGGGGCCGCTGAGTATTAATAAGGTAAGAACTCAATAACTTTTTTATCATGAACGGTGCCTTTAACCACCACAGATGAATCTCACGTCTTTCCATTCATCCAGTCAAGTCATGTTCCACTCCTTTATTTTCTTTTGTGTAAGTAAGTTTACTTCATTTCAACTTGTTCGGCTGTATGCTCGGATCAAAAAATCTTCAAGGTTGCTTGAATGACTTGTCAAATTAAGGTTGTGGAAGTTGTCTGAACTAATAAAGAAGAGGAGCAACTCAATAAAGGTCGGGATTCCATCGCCACCGAGGGCTCGTTAGGGGTAATTATCAAATGAGAAGGGTATCAATTGTTCAATATTGTGCTTCTGTGTGGGAATATTCGAGAAAATGTGCTGAGTAGCCTACACACTCGACTTCCGCTAAGAACCTCAGCACAATATCTATTCCATGACAAAGTCGTCAGGAAGAATTACGGAGAAAGTTCAACTGTTCAAAAATGGGAAAGCTGAGCTACAGGCTCGAATAACTTGAACTTCTGGCGGAATTTTCAGTTATAGCTTTCCAATTTGAAGCACAAACAAAACACGTACACCACCTTCCAATCTCCTCAGAAGGGTTGGAACAAGAGCAGAAATATGTGGACGATACGATAAGTTCAGGATCTTCATGTGGTATACCGTATTCGAATACTTTCGTCAGTCACTAGATGACATCAGACATAAATGGGAGAATCGCACTTTTCTTTCAGGACAACAGTTCCACAAATTGTTGAAGAATTGATATCCAAAAGGGTAAAATAGGTTGTAGTCCATCCGCTGAGACAATCTTTTGGACTGTCGTATACGGACTAAGCAGTAAACGTACAACGAAAACAGCCCTGTGCCTGAAACAAGGCTGTTTTGTGGACAGAAGAAACAAACATATGAAACTGAAAACAGCCCGATCCCGTGTGGAACTTTGGAACAACAGCGACGTCAGTCAGGCAGAATCTAGGATTGAAGATGATGTGGTCTATTTTGTTATGGAACTGTCCTCCAGATGACTTCCATGTCCATCGCAAATGAGAGAGTTTCTGGAACTGTGAGTTACCATGGATTGTGTGGTGTGGGTCGACATGCTAAACTAGGGCAGCCTTTAACCCTGCTCATCCCATTCCATTCCGTTAGTCTCGATGCCGTTGTTCTGGGGTCAATCTTGGCAATGTGGTCTTCTCTGTAGAGCCTCTCCAGATCCGTATAAAACGCCTCCAACTTCTTTTTTTCGTAGCTTGATGTTGGTGCGTAGGCGGCCGGGATTGTTAGAGCTGGGTTGAGCCACATCTTCTCAATCACAAGCGTCCGATTCAGGTTGGTAAGCTTTTGTACGAATCGATGTTCATGGCCAAGTGCGTGTTGACGAGGACACCTTTGCCGCCGAAGTCTCTGTTGTCCCATGTTCTACGAAACAGTTCTTCTGAACTTTCAAATACAGCGTGTAGCGGGTGGTATATACTCGTCTCGGCCAGTCCGATTGACCTTCCTAGCTTGCATCATCAGATCTCCTATACACGCTTCCGATGCAAGCGTCTGTGTGTTGAAAGTACAGACCGCCATCTTAGCCTCTCTCCTTTTGAGCAGCCATTTGGGCCCTGAGATTTTAGCAGCCTCTCCCGAGCGGTCCTACCCAACGCTGCCGAAGTCGGGGTCTCCGTTAGTTTCAGGGGCATGTGCCTATTTGTATTTCTGCTTCTGGCATATGGATATACGTGGGTACACCTGCGAGATACATAAGGTGTATCAACCAGCACAGCCTTGAAAGCACTTGCATTTCTGGGCAAGTACCGTCGATTTACTCTCCTCTCCGCCACCTGGCGACGCCCTACGTAGCCTCGTGGTTAGCCGGCTGGGATTTCTCAGTGAGAGAGACCCTCCAATGTAAGAGGTCGGTAGAGTTGTGTTTACAGCTTACGAGGGCAGAGGTGGTGTAGGGGAAGTGGCACACTATTTCACACGCGCGGACACAGGTTTGGATCGCAGACCGATATCCGCCTAAGCCAACGAAACCTTCCATCCCTCCGAAGTCTTTTTTACCAGACTCATCTGGTCAGATAAAAACACTGACTTCACTTAGGCTGGCCACCGCAAGTAACTCTGCAACCCACATACATATTCATTACGCCACTGCGATTCTGAATGGAAGTCGAGTGCGGGGGAGTATCCCTCATATGATTGATTCGGGGTTGATTGGAGCCAAAAGACTTAAAGAATTTGAAACTTCTATGGAGAGAGCGCTTTGTAGGAGATCGGAGACACTTAGTGGAGGTCCTACTCCGGTAGATGGGCACGACACACAGGGATCGCTTCTCTGCCTGGTGACTTTCTGCGAGAGAAATTCTGGTCGATAACAGTGATTATGCGACACAACACTCGGGGGGAAGGTTTTCACAAAAAGGAAACCACGCTAGTATAATAAAGCAAAATAAAAAAGGACTGATTGATCAAGGCCTGCTCCGTTTGGTGGTTGTAGGCATGCTAGTCTCTGTCGAAGCGTTCCGCTATACTTCCTGCATCGATTTTCCCTACGCACCCTTCAGACCTATTCCCGCTACTAGTCTATTTTCTTGGCAAACACGCTATTTGCTGTTAAACTCTCGCGAATGACAGCTAAATAGAGTAACTGGTAGGGATACCGATTAGCATTCGGGAGTCACTATGCGGTTACTCATGGACGTTACAGATTTCATAACAGTGGTTCTACCGACATAAACAACTTGGCATCGTTATGAGATGATGTTGGTACAACAGCGGCTAACACAATGTGTTTCTTCATTTCCGCATCATTGCCATTCACGCATAACAGTAAACAGTAATGTTAGGCATCGCCGCATTGTACGCGAATAGGAAACATTCTAGGACTAAAAAAGGTATAAGTGTGGGGACCAATCATTTTCGCGCTGTTCTCAAAGTTGCATCGTACTGTCAATTCCAATATTCCAATCCATAACAACCTTTTTCACGCTTCACGCTGGAGCTCCATTCATGGGTAAGAGCGCAGTTCGGTATAGAGTGTCTCCTTCACAGCTCTTGAGCCCTACATGGCAAAGAAGGAAGGTTAGCCGACTTCTATTGTGCTTGGGACGGTTCTTAGCTAAACGAATATAGTTTTTAGCTGAACCTTAAAAGGGGAAGAGTACCGGAGTGGATGAGATGATCACCTAGTGCAAGAGACTGTGATGGGGTAAGAATTGAGCATTCAGTTGACTCATTCAATGCGGTGCTGCTTCTCTCCTATGGCTACGGGTAAAAAGGGTATTTTCTGGTTAAAAGACGTTT